TTTTTGGTCTGAAACTTCTCCCTTCTCAGACAAGTGATAGGGGTCAAGTTAGTTGCTGGTGAAGAGCCTACTAATGAGGGCATGGAGCACAGATGGACAAGTCTGCTTGAATAAAAAGATGTTCTTCAGGCTACGTATCTGAAACATTTCATCTGATGTGCTGAAACTAGGTTATGAAAGAAGAAAACTGGAAATCACTTAAAAATGTTTGCTTTCCTGATAACCGTTCTGAAAACTAGTGACAACCAAAACTCCTCAACAAGAGGAGAACAAAGTTAGTTAATTCTGCCTTTTCTTCTTCCTGCCAGAAGAAGCAGTGTGCTGGGACTAGTAAAAGAGCTATAATTAAACTCCGCCCATATGCAAATGCAAGTGCAGAGATTGTAAATCATGAAAGGTTAATATCCATACAATTACAACCTGGGCACAAAACTATTACTGATTCATTAATAATGGGCTAATGTCTACTTACAGTCCTTGTGAGGATCTCCAGTTTGTTTTGTGACTAGGATATTTTTTTTTTTTTTTTTTTTTTCAAACCTGAATTTGTAACCGTAAAGAAATTTTGACACCTCATTGTAGAGCACCTGAAGTATATGAACTTCGTACCCTGGGAAGTACCTTTTTAAAAAAGGAAAACATTACTTTGATGCTACTAGATCAGTTTTAAGGATTTGTTGTTCCTCCAAAGGAAAATTAGCCTTATGTCTGTATTATGGCCCTGAAAAGGTTATACTTTGACAATTTTGGGGGGCTTTACTAATAATGTGAGAATAACACTGTTGGATCAGATCAAAGATCCATCTAATTTGGGAGCCTATTCTACAAAGAACATTCATGACAAAGTAACAGGACCGCTAATAGTTTATGCTCTGAAAAGGAGGCTTCATAGAGTAAAAGCGATGCAGTACATTAAGCCCTGAGTAGCCTGGTCTGATTTCATAGCTGACCCTGCACTGAGCAGGAGGTTGGACTTAAGACCTCCTAAGATCCCTGAAAACTGACTGCCACTGCAGTCACGCTTTCGCAAAGGGTGCCTACACCAACCGAAGAGAGATCTCCAGATCTTATGAAAACAACCTTTTATAGTTCAAGAGGCTAGTCCTATATTTTAGCAGCAGTGGCTAACTAATAAACTTCTGGAGGTAGACTACCTACTAGAAAGGGTGAGGAGGCACAGTGAGTTAATGTGAAAATACTGGAAGCTGGATAGCTGGGGACTTTGCCGCCCCCTTTTTTTTATTATTTTTTTTTTATGATCTCCAAACTGCATTTCTTGAATCCCCTCCCCTCAAAATCCCTTTCTGAGCTGCCCTCTTATCTTCCACAGGAGGAATGTGAGATCACCTCACCTTTGTTTGTTTTAATCCTTTCCTTTGTTACCTCCGGTCTCTGCACGTTGTTGCACTTTAATACATTTGCCTAATTCAGGCGGTGAACTCCTTAGGGCAAGAACTGTGTTTCCATAAATTTTGGTGTATTTATTGAGCTACGCATATCATCAGTCAGAGCAATCACCTGCAGGACAATTTGTCATTATGATTGCAACAGCTAGATCTGCAAGATTAACCAGTCAGAATGAGAAAAGCCAACTTCATTTTTCTTCTTGACTAATACATTAACTGCTTTCTGAGTTCCTCAATAAGTGAGTGAGACTGCAGGGAAATCTGAACTTCTAAAATAAACCTGTCTGCATCTGCATTATGGATGGTCAAAGGGATAACTTCTAAAATCTGGAACCTGTTAGACTTCTCCTGACTGGTAAGTCCAGAATAACTTGGCTTGTAACAAATTTGTGCTTGATGTATCAAAGATGTTGTTGTTTGTTTTATCACTTTCCTCCCTCTCCCCTTCCCCCCTGCCCTCTTTTTGCAGTGTTATTTCTGGGAACTGCACTATTTGGAGTGGGTTTTTCAGAAAATGTCTAAGATGCAGAACTCGGAGGGTAGTGATCAGTGGTGCCGAGTCTAGTTGGAGGCCTGTAGCTAGCGGGGTCCCCCAGGGGTCAGTCCTTGGTCCAGTCCTGTTCAATTTATTCATCAATGACCTGGATGAAGGCACAGAGTGCTCCCTCAGCAAGTTTGCTGATGATACCAAACTGGGAGGAGTAGCCAAGTTGACCATGAGGCAGCAGTGTGCCCTCGTGGGCACATTGGCCAAGAAGGCCAATGGGATCCTGGGCTGCATTAAGAAGAGCATCTCCAGCAGGTCGAGGGAGGTGATCCTGCCCCTCTACTCAGCCCTGGTGAGGCTGCATCTGGAGTACTGTGTCCAGTTCTGGGCTCTACAGTACAAGAGGTATGTGGAGCTGCTGGAGAGAGTCCAGCGCAGAGCTACAAGGATGATCAGGGGCCTGGAACATCTGCCCTGTGAGGAGAGGCTGAGGGAGCTGGGCCTGTTCAGCCTGGAGAAGAGAAGGCTGAGAGGGGAACTAATCAGTGTCTATAAGTATCTCAAGGGAAGGAGTGAAGAGGATGGGGATGGTCTCTTTTCAGTGGTGGCCACTGACAGAACTAGAGGTAATAGCCACAAACTGAAGCACCAAAAGTTCCACAGGAACTTAAGGAAAAATTTCTTAACAGTAAGGGTGACAGAGTGCTGGAACAGGCTGCCCAGAGAGGTTGTGGAATCTCTCTCCCTGGAGATCTTCAAAACCCGCTTGGATGCCACGTGCTCTAGGTGACCCTGTGTGTGCAGGGGGGTTGGACTAGATGACCTCTAGAGGTCCCTTCCAACCTTAAGCATTCTATGATTCTATGATTTCAAAGCTTTGGCTTGTTTTGAGTGTCCCATTTCTCTGTCTGTGAAATGGGTATAATAGCAATAGACTATCCCATCAGGGTGGTGAAAAACAAAGAAGTTTGTACTTGTGTGATCAATGACATTTGAAATAAGATCTGAATGTTTATATTACACTGTGATCTCTATCGTGTAAATAGCTCACTCACTCATATATTTCTTTCCACATATATATTATGCATATAGTAGATGGGTGGTTGAAAGGCAACATCACTGTGGACCATCATAAGATATTGGTTGTTAGTTTAGAAGTAGAGGAATTACTTCAACAAGATATTATATGATTACAAGTGTTCTTTAAACCTATGAATAGCATCTTGCATTTTGAAAAATATGGGTTAGGAAACAACATGTCTGATTTTGATGTTAATACAATAATGGCTAGTTTAAAGATTGCTGTAACGTTACCTGTAGTTATGACTAATAGTTGTTAGTTAAAATGTTGCAAAACTCTTTACAAGTATTAAACTTGTGTACACTGATTCTGAGATTGATGCTTGGTACGTGATCGTAGTGGACGTGTAGATTTGCACACAGATATAGAGCGACTGAGTTGCATATTTCCTGGAGTTTTTTTTTTTTTTTCTCTCTAATGTCCTTATGCAACGAAGTGGGAGGTGCCAAACAATAGGTGTCAGCACTGGTCCAGCTATGCAAACATGACTGCAAATGTAGACCAAGACAGCCTGTGCTTATGGTTAGTTTATAAAAACCTGCTGCAGCAGATTTTACCTGCATTTCCTGGAAAGGGTCTTAGGCACAAGTTTGCTTTGGGCTATATTTTCAGCAAACTGAGTGCCCATAAATCAGTGCTGAGACAATGACTGACAGTTTGTTATAAATTAGTTTATTGTGATACAGGTCCTGAAGATAAAAGCTGGTTAAAAATAATCTGCATATTCTGTTGGCAGTGACAAATTGCCACACTACTGAAGGAAAGTCTGCTCCTGGAATGGTAATTTAATTAGGTTTTTTTGCTTTATGGTTGGAGATGTTAGTAGCAGAAAGAGTTAGATGTAGTGCCATTCCAGGCTTTATGGTTGGAGATGTTAGTAGCAGAGTTAGATGTAGTGCCATTCCAGAGATATTTCAAGGAAAGCCTAAAACTAGTCAAAACTAGTAAGCCTGGCATGCTGGAGAAAGAAGTCAATATCACAAAAATCAAAATGGAGCTGGCAGGTTTAGCTACAGCCCTAGGGACCTTCCATGACACTTTAGAATCATGGAATTTTGTGGAGGAATGTCAAGCAGGAACTAAGAGCTTGGATGTCTCATGAAAATAGTGCACATCAGGAATACAGTCTGTGGACACTTCTGCAACAGTTTTGGACTACAAATCAGAAAGATTTAAACAGTGTGAGATGTAGGGTTGCATAATGGAGAAGCAAGAAAGAACCACCAATAGGAAAAAAAGACAAAAATTCTTTAAAGAATTTTTTTTCCTCTGTGTTTAACTGGCACGTAAGATTGAGGATATGAGGATTCTGCCAAAAAAGGTAAGCCCAAAGGGTTTAAAAGCCCAGTGGAAACATGGTCTAAGCACAGCACCTCCTCTGAGGTGCTGGATCAGAGTGTCAGTTCTTTGGAACTGCTTGTATCTGGAAGAATACGTATATGTTTAAATTATCTCCTCACAAGTGAAAAGCTTTGTAGCTTTAAAACTCTAAGGATAAATGGGGAAACGGGCTTGCAGGCACTCCAGTAGCTAACATGCAGAGGTGGAGGAGTCCTTTAAATGAGGAGGTGCTCCCAGGAGAAAGAGCTGTGCAGTGGGTGGATGACAGTGAGAAGGAAAAGAGGAGACCCTGCCAATACCCAGGGATGGGCGCCAGGAGAACCGCCCCCTCCCCAGCACTCGCGCCGCGCTGCTAAGCGGCGCGCGCTCCTGGCAGCCGCAGCAGTGGCACGTTCGGAGTGCCCCGTGCTGGCAGCGCCTCCGAGGGAACGCCACTGAGGGGTGATTCAAGTCAATCCCGTGCTTTATAAAAGGAGGCGGGTCACTTTGCTCGGTCCCACTCCTTTTCTGTCACAGCTGCTGCAGGCAGGAGCACCAACCAAAGGCAGCTGGCACGCCTCCGTGGTGGCTCTTATAAAATACGGGCTTTGCAGGGTGCTGATGTGGAAATCAAGTCAAACGTTAAGACGGGCTCGCGTTACTTGTCTTTGCGTCGCCGGTGCTCACCTTCCATAGGGCTGCTCTCAGAGGGCTGATCTGTGACCCTGCTTGAGCGAATTTTTGGGAAGTGTGCAGGATGGCTCCTGAAAGGGCAGGGGATGAGCTTGTCTTCTTTGTGAATGGTAAAAAGGTAAGGAAGCTTCCCAGCTTTCTCTTCTGCTTCTTCCAAGTTGTGCATTGATCATTTTTTTGTTTAGTCATCTTTTCTTCCTCTGAAGTTTTCCAGTATCAGCACACTTGCCATGATGACTTTGAAATATTAAATCGTGAAAATTATTTATTGCTTTGCTAAGTGATTTTTTTCTCCCTTCTTGGAGTTATTTGTGAAATATTCAGAAAGTAACATAACTATATAACTTGATGTTTGCCTTTTGTTTGTAACAATTCACCACAATTCTAAGGCAACTTATTTTAAATAAAGGTGCACTGACAGAATGCAGACGTCTCTACTAGACGTAATTGAAATAATTAGAGCTGACCTGAAAAATGTAACTCAAATATAAGCATCCATACATTCAGTAAGTAATTCTGACTTTTGATTTTTAAAAAGGAATTCAAGTAAAACATTCGTTCCATTTCCACAAATCAAAACCTGAAAACTGATAGCTTTGCATTTCCTAAAAATGAAAGTATCACATGGATCAATTGCTGACAGTTGGGACTAAGAAATCCCACGCTTGTGTACAAGGAGTCACTTCTGCGTAAGAAGTGACTGTGTCAGAGAAGAGGGCAATTCTTGCACCAGCTGGATGTCTTTGCGCAGTTTCTCCCAGAACGCCTTTTTTCTGCTCTGGTTTCCCTAACTATCCTTTCAGCCTCTCATCTGCAGCAACTTGTAGCAAGTCAAGGATGCCTCTGTTCTCCAACAACTTGAAATAAGTCAAGGTTGTTTCTTTTTCAAACTACAAGCTGGTTCTGTTTGTGCACTCAGCTCAATGTAAATCTTGCCCTGCCTCTCTCCCCTTCTATAGATATGTCAGAACAGGCAAATTTGTGCCATAGCAGTTGCCAGCTGGGAAATTTGGAAAGGGGGAGGATTGCATATTCGCTGTGTACTGTGGAGCCAAGAGTGTGCAGACCTTTCTGTGCACTGCTCAGGGACAGATCATGTGCAGAATTGTTTGGACTAGAGGATTAGTACTTCAGTCCCTTGAGGAATCACAAGGGTGATTTGGTTGCCCTGCAGCCTGGTATAGGATTCTTACCATTTTTGCTTTTGTGAGTCTTTAGTGCTAAATTTAATCATTTATAAATGTGGATAGGATTGTTTCTGTATTAAATAGGCAAGGTGTTTCAGGTGTTCAAATTCAGGTGTTTCAAATTTGCATCTCAAATTTGGTTGGAATCTGAACTTTCAAAAGTGCTAGAGCATTTGATGTCAAAGCCTTTTTTTATTTAAGCATCAGTAGTTAGCTGAAGAATACAGGTTATAAGTGATCCAAAGGGAGCTTGAGTGTAATACTCACGTAGCAGCCAGACCTGGTTCTGAGCTTTCCTAAAGGACAAGTCCTGGAGCTTTGCTTACAGGTATGATTAATGGTTCACATGTCAACATTAACTCATAGATCGGCTGTTCATGGTTTCTAAACAGAGGTGAAAACTGAAGGTCCAGGTTAATCATAGCTAGCTAATGAAGTCTGATCATTGAGGTGGTGAGGCAGTGACACAAGGTGATCTGTGCATTTCACGTGATGAATTTCCTTCTGTGGTAGGGGCACAGGTGACATCTTTAACCTCTTCTGCTTTCTTTCTTTGGGATTTTTAGTGGCTTCAGGTATACCCTAATTTTGAAAGGGTAAACTGGGAGCTTTTGGAGACTTGCAGTGAGGAGGTGCCACAAAAATGTTGGACAGTCCAGGTCTCACCACAGGCCAAGTATTCTATCTTGTTTTGTTTTTCTGATATACTCTAATGCAAGAGAGTTGTAATTCCAATGTCAGATTAGCTTAGATTTAAAACCAATATATTCTCATTGCAGGTGTGAAGAGTTTATAAATAAATAAATCTCTTAAATACCTTTACAGCAGGTGTTTTGGCATCACTTGGTGGTCAGGTATTACAGGCGTGTTGCTCTGCGTAAAACAGTAGAAAACCCTTATTCCTGATGGAAACTCTTGGCCTAACATCTGAATCTATATATTAGTCATACAACAGAAGAAAAGGGACTGAGTTGCACAGAAGTTGTTCTGTGGGGCTGTTCCTTCATTTAGGGTTGTGGGGTGAGCGGTGAAGGATGAAAGCACCATGTTGACCCACAAAGACTGCCAGCAGAAGGTGACTCCTTACTTTTAGTATGCCATGCTTGGCAGGACCATCTACCGCCTGTTCTTACTGTGTCCTGGAGTTAAAGCTCATGCCGGGAATGGTCTCTCTCTCCTTGCATTTCAGTGCTTTTTATGGAACCTTGTTTACAACCTTTTTTCTTGTTTACAACAGCCTCACCTTGGAGCTGGCCTTGTGCATGCAAAAAGGGCTTATCACAATATCCTCTTGGCACTTCTCTGTTAAAAAGCCACTGGGAACCGTTAATGCCACCAGCAGTACCTGCCAATTCTACGTGGCAAGGCTGTATCAACATCGTTCCCTGCTGGAATCAGCAATGCCAGCAAAGAAGCGGGCTCTGCCTGACCAGGCAGGAAAGGGTTTCCTGGAGTGTGCAGTGCCCTGACAATGTACCCGGTCAATGGGAAAGGTTACTGCTGTGCAAGTCTGTGACAGCTTGACATTGCCAATGGGCTGCCGATACAGAAATGCACGATAAGAGATGGCTGATAAGATAGGGACATTCATGGCAATGACTTCTATTTCCTTGCATTAGCCCAGCCTGTAACGTTGTCCAGAAAATGTCTCTTCAGAACAGCTGAGCATACTTCGCATTCAGAATTGTTTATTTTAAGCGCCTGTTTACTTCACTGGACATGAAGTTTGGCACACATGCCGCACAAAGTTATCTTGATAGCCTTGCCAGACTAGAAAGCAACACACACAACTTGCAGTTAATAGTAGCAACGTTTGTTTTCCTCAGCTGGCAAGGCTGTCTCATCCATATGTAGCATATAATTTTAATTCAAACATCTAGAGTCAATATTTCCATATGTATACTGAATATTAAGAGAGAATCTCAGCTGGAAGCCGTATTAGACCCCTTCTAAAGCCTGTGGAATAAAGTAGGAAGGTGTCTGCGGTTATTTGCAGACTTTGCTCAGCTACTTTTTTACATTGGAAATTATTTATTTAACTTTCTGGGAATAATTTAGTAATTTAGATATGATGTTTTATGTGGCAAATGCAAAGTCATTTGAATTAATGAAAGGCAGACAGAAAAGATACAAAACCTGGATCTCTGTAAATATTTTTTGTTTGCGCTATGTTGTGCATAGTGGTCAGACCAAGTCAAACCAATTTCTGAAATCATGGAGAAGTGAGCTCAACGCCTTTCTGGATCAGCTCAAAGGCTGTAAGTGTAGAGCATCAGTTAGGAACTTGTTCTCTTCAGTGCTTGAAGAGCGTTTTTTTACGGTTAGGCCGGACTCCTGCTGAGTTGGTCTGAGTATTAGAGAGTCCCAGAAACAGGAGACAATACATGTGCAGTAAAAACACAACAGGACAGAACATGTTTTCAGAGTCATTTCACTATCAGTGTCCTCATAACATTTCCTATAGTTTTTTTTTCATGCATTTGATTAATATTTAAGCTACCACATGCAGTAAAATCCACGCTTTTGAGGCCGAAGAAATGAAGCTGTCAATATATGACCTTTGTGGGTTTTTTAAGTGATTTTGCAAAGAGGATTTTTTTCTTTAATTGTAATATCTAAGCACACTGATCTTACTCCCACTGAAGCCATTGGGCATAATTCAATTTCCATCTGTATATGGACACTGCGGGGGTGTGCAGGAATTGTTTTGATGGATTAGATACTGAGCTGTGAATCATGTTGATCTGGGCATCAAACAAGAGAAGATGTTGTCCCCACCCACAGAGTTTTAAAATATTTTAAGAACAAATCACAGTAGGTGAGTGTAACACACACTGGGGAGAATGATATGTTGGAGGACAAAACCAGCATTAGCAAAAAAGGGACAAAAGGCTGGAGCATTAAAAAGCTCTTAGTTCTGGGGTCAACAAGAGCCACTCATAAAAAAGCACTGCCCCACCAGGAGTCTGACTTCTTGCTCTCTCCTGAGTGAGATCTGATTTAATCCAGAATGCCCTCCAAACTCTTAACCTTATGTCCCTCTGATCCCAAATGCCAGCATTACACATCTTTAGCTAAACAGAGTAACTTCGTGGGCGTAAGAAGCCAGGCACTGATTTGCATGGGGCAGTAGTGTGCGCTGTTCATGACACGTTTTTCTGCATAGTGAAAGCCACTTCACTGAGAAACTTGAGCACACGTTTGACTTTGAGATTAAGTACATCCTCAAGTACTTCATTAAGAGTGTGTGGAGATGAGCGTTTAAGTGCTTTGCTGAATGAAGATTAAGGCCTGTGTTGTCTTATTTACTTATAACTTTCTGAAAGATACCCATTCAGTGGTTATACCTTTCATTGCTCAGTTCAGGTACATAATATAGAGCTTCTGGGTGCTTTCAGGAAAACTTGGACATTTTCATTGATCACAGCATGGAATAATCTCTATATTCTTTGTCCAGAAAATGTTTTCTCTGTGCCTGGCTATTTTGGATACTGCTTTGAAATGGTCTGCAATGGCCATTGGCACAGTCCTGAGGAAGAATCTCAGATTGATAGAGGTGTGAGTTGCTGCGGAAGGCTCCTTGCTTAAGAAATGCTTGAGGCCTTCCTTTGCCAGTGGAAGACTAGTAGTTATAGATGGTTTTGGAATTGTCTATTCAAGGGTGTTTGTTTACCAAACTAGTGCAGAGGGATCTCTGTGCTTGTTTAGAACTGTCTGGTTAGGAGAGGGTTCTCACTGATTTCTGTATATCCAGGAGGCAAGGGAATGGAGAGCAGCAACATGAAAGCTGCATGGTTTATAGGAAGCTAAGAGGGATTCTGTTGCCTTGTAGATTGTCCCCAGTGCAGAAATGGAATGTCCAAAAATGGCTGTGTTTTGTTGCAGCAACTTTATCAGGTGGTTTTAGAAATGTGGACTCAAATAGGAAGTATGAACCTTGGCTCTTCAGAATAACCCTGTCACGTGTCAAAGGCGTAAAACTGAAGCAGAAAGCAGAGAGGGTGTGAAGGTGTCTTATCAACAAGAAAGAAGGCTTACACAAATGACCTCTGTTTCAATTTGCCCTTCAAAACTGGAAGAGATTAATTTAAATAAACAGTAACTACTGTACTTAGGACTTACATATTGTAAAAGCCAAGAACACATGATTACATTCCTGCACACAGTAAATTTGGAAATGTTTCTTGACACCCTATTAATAACTGCAAAAGAGGAAAACAACCTCTGCAGCCACTTAGAACAACTGGATAGAACTTTGGTTTCTGATCATGCGATAAAGGTTAAAGTAAAATCCAATTTTATATGTTATAGATCATTGTTAATAATGTTGTCCATTAGTGGAATGGGACTGCCTTAAAACATGCAGGGAATTTCTCCTTAGCCAGAATTTCACATTCCAGATTGAGAATAGCTACTAATGCAACATCTATCAGTATAACATTACCCAGGGAAGAAAGACAAATTTAAGTCAGGCCACTACTTCTTTCTCTGTCCTGCAGCACCTGTACTGGTTATGTTAGGGTTTCTGCTACTTATTCTGCAAATTCTATAATTGATGTTGTTTATATCTTGATGTTTATCTTTTACCCCTCAGGAATTCAAAACTCAAGTCCAGAACATGATTCCTTCTCTCTCTAGTCACTGCTAATTCTGCTTAGTGTCTATGAAGTGTCTTTTAAGGATTTGCCTCACTTTGCAATGGCTGAAAAGTCCTAATCTAAAGAATGCTATGCGTGCTTTTCCCTGTCACAATAATTGCAAAGTAAAATTGTAACTGGAGGACTATGACCACTATTTCTGAATCTAGTAAGAGGACAACATAATCAATGGTTCTGCTCCCTGCTTTGTAAAAGTGGTAGGTCTGAACTTCCTCTTCCAAGCTGACCTATATGTTGTGACCCTTTCTATGTGTAACAATTGCTTTACCTTCTTGCAGATAGTGGAACAAAATGTGGACCCAGAAACAACTCTACTGACCTATCTACGAAGAAAATGTATCCAGTGCCCTAAGAAACTGCAGAAGGCTTTAAATGCCTGTAGCATTTCATAATTGTTTCCTGTTCTGCATGTCACTTGAGTGCTTATGCGAGTGCTTGAGCTTATGTGCAGAGCATAGGAGAGAATGTTCTGCATTACATTACAGCCACTTGAGCAGCTTGTTATGTCATCCTGTATTTTGGATATTATCTGAATATTATCCAGTACTTTGATTGTCTCATGCCTTGCATATTACAGGCAATATTGGGTGATCCAGGCATGCAAAATGAGGCAGGGGTTCCACCACATGCTGTGGGCATGCTGCATGAATGGGCCCAGGTGGATGCAGATTCATTTCACTCCTGCATCACACATGAGCCAGTTTTGCTATAGGAACTAGCGTAGGTAATATTGTTTCATGTTTTCCAAGTCCTTGTCTGACCAGTTGTGAATGGCCACACATGAGATTACTCACATCTGTGTTACTGTCTCCCTTAAAGAGTCAAGCCTACTTGTTTAACTTTTGCTGTTGTGTTCCAGCTATTGTCCGGGATCTGAAAGAAGTAGAAGGATGTAAATCATGCTCCCCCTTGGAGTTTCCAAGAGAACTATCAGCAGCCATATGACTCTCTATCTCAGGCTTTGCTTGAGTGCACAAGGTTCAAGAGGGGAAAATAAGTGGTATGTCTCTTCTGCTTTCATGCAGTTCTCACCAGTTGGCTTTATATATCTAAGCTTATTAATGTTGGATGAAAATGGTTTCATATGAAGACAGCTCTTTAAAGCCATCTGATCCTTCTGCAGGAATATTTGTGATGGCTAGGGTCAGACAAAGCATGTTAGAACCACATTATTGTTGAGAGAAACCTTGGATGGCACAAGCAAGCTGCAGTAGATAGACAGCCATATGGAAACAATCCCATTCAGAATGATTGTAATGGAGGTGAAGATTGAGTCACCTGTATCGTGACTATTGATGCTTTTCCTCGGGCCTAAATTCATCATTTCACACAGATGCACAGGCATGTGTCCACTGCCACTGATAGCAGCTGTTGTAAATATCTCTCTGCATTGAACAACTTCATTAAAAATAAGTGGTCTAATTGCCCTCCAATGAGAAAAGGAACCTAAAGCAGAAGTGACCTGAGGAATTGTCTTCTGACATCCCTTTGCAGTATATTTCAAGTGCTACCTGATTGAGAAGTGTTCTGTAACCTGTGGAGGAATCCGCTTAGGCCAGTGTGAAAACTTCTGGGATTCCCAGAGATTTGTGCAGTGCTCCTGTGCCTCCCCGCTACTTCTGGGGTAAAAGCCTCCTGTGGCTTTATGGGAACCTTGTCCCCAGCTGCCATTGCTCAGCAAGTCACCATAAATGGGGCCAAAAGATAAGCTGGAGTGACCAGACTGACTCTTGCAGGTAGTTTGTGAGCAGTTCAAGTGTAGCTCCTGCAGCACCTGTTGAAGGCAACTGAAGCAGATGTCACCATGTGTCTCAGGGCTGTGGCTGAGCAAGCCCTGCCCAGAAGGCACTGGGAGTGTTGTGTCTCCTACCTCATTTCCTTCTCCAAGTCCAGAAAATGAGAAGTCTTGTAGTTTATTCTAACGAGTCTACTGGATCCTGGGCTTCCTCATTATTAGACTTAAGGGTGTTGATTTGATAGCTCTCATGCCAGCAGACTTTGCTTAGATCAATTTATTAAGCAAGAAGAACATAAGTCCTTGGTTTCTGATGAGAACATTTAGAGAACTGATTGCTCCACTTTCCAGACTTGTTGCTAAACCCTGACTCACAACTGTTTGTTGAGTGGACTTCTGCCAACATTCTTCATGTTTTCCTTAATTCCTGTTTGCTCAGTGGGCCTATGTGGAACCAAACTAGGCTGTGGAGAAGGGGGATGTGGTGCTTGCACTGTTATGATATCAAAATATGATCCCTTTCGAAAGAAAATCCTGTATCCTTTGCAATTCAAACTCTTCTACAAAGTGTGAAATGAAATGGGGACAGATCCAGGTTCTTGGCATTCCAGACACAGTTCTGTTTTTTTTTTTTAATTATATAATGTATACTTATGCCAAAAACATCATTTATTATTTTCAGAACATAAATTCAGAAGGATGAATTTATGAACAATGTATTTTTTCCACCAGCATTGCACAATGCTGATAGGGACTATTTCATCTTGTCCTGAAATATCTGCAGTGACCCCAGCACACATTCTTGTCTGCCTTTTCCCAGTCCAGAAAATCTTCATGTTCTTACTTTCAATGTAATATAACTTTTTGCTATGGTGGCTAATAATGATTAGTGTGGTAAATCTTTATTGCTGTTGGATCAGTAGAATAATATGACTTCTGTATGCCAGCAGATATTCACTATTTCTTTACTTTCATTGTAACTTTCAAAATGACTTTTTTGAGGCATAAGATTTTTCCTATTCTGTATAAATAAATGAAAAAATAAGTTATTTAAAGAAATGGAATCAAAGAGGGGAATGAAGAGGGAGGATGGGACAGGAGTGTATATAACTGTTTTTTTTCCCCTCTGTGCGGAATAGAAAAACAGATCTTGATATAAACTTGGAATAACACTTGGAGATGATTTAACTTGGGATCATCTGACTTTGTTCTACTTAACAATATGGCTTCAAATAGGATATTTTAAGGTCATTCTTTCTGTCTTGATAGAAAAGAAATAAAATAGTTTCTATAAAAATATTGGCAACATTACTCCATTTCGCCATTAGTTTGGATGTCTTCTCCATGTGTACCATCCAGATGATTTCCTAGATAAAAGGCCAAGAGCTTCTTCCTCTTACACAAGCATTCTTCGTGAGTGGGTCAGGCTAGTTGCCTAAAATCTTGGTATTTGTTGTCTACTCCTTTAAACTGCTTACATGGGTTCTGTAGTGCATGCAGGGAGGAGGGTTAAAGATACTATTTCTATGTCAAATCCTATGGTGCATACTTGATTTGAATTTCAAGTGAAGTTTTTGGGAGCTTTGGCTGAGCAGATGCTGGGGGATTTGCCTTGGGAGCAATGCATGCACCAAATCTACTTAGGTTTTTCAGTTGTGCCTACTGCTAGGGTCTGAGTACCCTCGAGCTCTCTTGGAGTCTTTTCCTTTGCTGAGCAGCACTATCAAGTGGAATGACCTTAATTTATTATTTTAGCCACTATACTGCCAATGCTTGTCTCTTCCCCATCTGTGCCCTGCATCATGTAGCTGTGACTACTGTTGAAGGCATAGGAAACACAAAGTCCCGGTTGCACCCAGCCCAGGTAAGATTAATACTGGTAATTATTATTTTTTTAAACCATTCTCCCCCTTTACGTTAACTACGCCTCCTCTAAGACACTGGGACCTCCATCATAATATTAAAGCTGAGAATTTGACTTTCCATACTTATGGAACTTTCCATACTTCCGTAGTTGTGGGAATGGCTCAGTGGTGGGATCAAACTTTCATTTCAGCACAGCATCTCTGTTCTTCCCCATCAAGTTAGCTGATGCTGTCCTAGCCAAACTGCTAATATGATTTAGGTTCTTGGGCACCCCAGCTGTGTTTGATCCAGGACCTGTATCAGGAACCAGAAAGACTGATGTTGTGAAACTACATAATGACTGGGAGTCAGGAAATCTGAGTTAGTTTTGACTCTGCTATGGCCTATAGTGGATGACCTTGGTTTCTGCTCCTGCAGTGGCACAGTAAGGTTTGGTTCAGCTCTGTTTGCAGAGACCCCAAACATTCTTGGTGGGAAGGAGTGACAGGAATGTGAAGACTTGCTTTTCCAACAAGATGTTATAGTGTGCTTCTTGTGTGCAAATTATTTCAGTGTTGTCAGAGATACTGCTCCTTTAAAGGAAACTGATTAATCACAGCTCTGATAGAGGGCAATTTCTGTCTGAGAAAGGAAACAGCAAAGAGAAAAATAATTCAGATATGAGTGAATGGATCGTAGCTAGTGTGACCTTTATTTGCTTGTCTTCTTTTTCCTACCTTATCTGAAGACTCTAACAGCTAAACTTTGAAATTGAAACTCAGGTCTATACAGATAGCTCCAAGATTCTAGCCTAGGAAATCCTTGTCTGGAGAACTCTTGGTATCACTGGAGGCTAAGTATCTTCAGTTACTTTGTGAGTTTGAAGTCTAGATGTAAGTTTCTCAGTATGTTCTCTTCTTTGAGGTACGCTTCAAAGACTAAGTCACCGTCTCATGAGAGAATATCTTAACATTTGGTGAGATTGTCATTCTAGCTGATGTTTTGTGGGAACACAAATAGGTAGGGGCCATGAACTCACCGTGATGTTGTGAGCTAATGGTTGTTAATTTTCTTCCCAGGAGAGAATAGCAAAAAGTCATGGGTCCCAATGTGGCTTTTGCACTCCAGGTATTGTCATGTCCATGTATACATTGCTTCGGAACAAACCTGAACCCAAAATGGAGGAGATAGAAGATGCTTTCCAAGGTAATGCCCTCCACTCTGCAGGGATGCAACCTGTGGTGCTTTCATTACATCTGCTTCACCAAATGGAGTGGAGGAACACCTTTTGTTTGTAATGTATTTCATTAAAGACAGACAATTGTTAGGAGATAAAGAACTAGCTTTCCTGCTAACAGATGAGCCAGCTGGTATGAAGCATTTGCTCATTGTTTGCAGGGCAGCAGTGGCAAATGTCCTCAGTCTTGGATTACGACTCCACTAGACTTAACACAGACCAAAAGGGTGGCTTGTCCCTGGCAGGGCTTACAGGCTCCACATCTCCTCGTGGAGGGCAGTTTGCCACTGGTTCCAAGAACTTGCAGGGCTGACGGCGCATCTGGGTTAGTCAACCTCAGGTAGAGGAGTGATTCAGCAGTATGCGATGGAGTGGGACAGAATATGACTGTGTAAAGCAGCTGAGGGGCTGCTGTTAATACTGAGGTTACAGCTGTCACTAGGCTTCTGGCAGAGACCTGAGAAGAAATCAGAAGCAGAAGAAAGCAGTCTGTAATTCAGGGCACTGGATGCTGATTAGACTCACACAACTGAGGTAAATGAATAGGACAGATTATTTAAATTTAACATTGAAATTACTTTAGATAAATTTCAAGAAAAGCATGGTAGTGTTGTTGCAAAAATATTCATGAAAATTTCCTTTTATTTTTGATCTTCTTTTTCCCCTTTTAGTAGTTATTGTGAGACATGATAAAATGCTCTAAAAAAGGAGATGTTTTCAGCCAAATAACACTAAATACTTATTCTTTTGCTCTGCAATGCAGGGAACTTGTGTCGATGTACAGGATACAGACCCATTCTGGAGGGATACAGGACATTTGCCAAAGTAAGTTTGGAAGGCTGACTGGCTTTCTCTGTTACTCAAATATACCAGGCACTGAAGAGAGGAGGAAGGAAATATATATGCTACAACCCTCTTGATCCATTTATGTATGCTTCATGCATTGATAATGGAAGACCAATTCATTTTCTCATTGTAATTGCATGAAGAAAAGTGCTTGAGTAAGATCCATTTGATGGTTCCCAGACTCTTTGTAATTCTTCTTTGTAAGTCTCTGAAAAGCTTAGCATCTCTGCATGGTACAGCTTGCAGATGACCTCTAATGTGGAAAGAGGGTTAAAGGTGCAGTGCACAAACAGGCACTGATGGGGAATCTGATTGGACAGTTGCTTTCTTGAAAGACAAACTGAAATAGCACTAGAATGTAGTTGCAGTCACTGCTGCATAGCTCTTGCTCAGCACTCAGCTACTAGCATGGTAGAGTGTGAAGCTTTGGTATAGGTTTTCTCTAGCGCTTTTGTTTCAGAAAGATTGCTGAAGGCTGTGAAGGAAAGTAGATGTTCAGTTACTTCAGTCATTACTAGCCACCCATGGGACTATGTAAGCATCAAAAATGGAGAACTTCAGAATGCTGTCCATTAATTTTATTTCATTATCCAGATTCATGAATAAGAGAATACCAAGAGAAGTAAGATCTATTACAATTGTTTGATAAACCCAGTCAAGGTAGTTTCCTTGGATTTCTAACAGGTTTTCAGCACAGTGTCTTACCAAAGACTTTTAAACAAAGTGGGCAGCCCTGGGTAAAAAGGAAGATCTCTGTATGGATGAAAGAATTGCTTGAAAGGCAGGAAATGTCCTTGCAGTGGAGGGAGATCACTGATAGAGTTCTGCGGAGACCTGACGTGGGAGCAGAGCTGTTTGAGATCTCCCTGTATGAGTTGGAAAAGAGAGTGAGCAGTGAGGTGAGGAAAATAAGTTCACTGATGATACCGAGCTACACTGAGTAGTGAAAACAAACAGATTAAGGGGAATTTCAGAAGGGCTTCGAAAGACATGAGAGACCTGAGAGATTGGAGAATAGAATGGAAAGAAGTTCAGGGAAAAAATGCAAAGAGATCCCCAGAGGGAAGGGTGGTCCTCTTTTCCCAGGCAAGATACTGGATTTTGGGCAGACTGCTAGCATGCAGGAACAAGACCTCAAGGTTGTGGCAGGCAGTTCCATGGAGGCATCAGCTTCTCATGAGCAGTCAAAACTGCATTTCAAAGGGTAGAGAACAAAACAGAAAACACTCTTATGCTGCCATCTAAATCATGGCTCTCCTGCACCTTGGCTGCTCCATGCAGTTCTGGTCCTCTTATCTCTCATGAGGTAGAGTGGAAATGAAAAAGGTTAAGAGAAGTGCAGCAGGCCTCACAGCGATGGAAAGATGGCTTCCATACAAGAAACATGGAGTAGACTGGGACTCTTCAGCCTGGAAAAGAGATGACGGAGGTGGAGGGTGTTTTGCATAGCCCATACAGTAGTTTACAGAGAGCTTTGATAGAAGCCTACAAAATCATGATTGTCAGGGGAAAGGTGAACAGATACCAGCTGTTTTCTGCCTAATTCAATACAAAAACTAGCTGTCATGAAATTAAATTACTAAAGGGCAAAGCAAAATGAAATGAATTTCCATGCCTCAAATAGCTGTGCTGCAGAACTCACTAAGGGATGCTTTGGGAACCAAAAGCTTACACAAGGGTCAGGAGAGACTATGTACTTTCAAGTGCTACATACTTGGGAGGAAAGCTACTGAGGGTTATTAGGCTCTCGGTATAAAGCACATTCGGCTAAGGTATTCCCCCAATCTGAACACAATTGGAAGCTGATAGAGTACCATGTATTTTATTATATATTCTAGCCCCTCTTACAGTTTCCAGGGTATTTTCTTAGAGCTGCAGCTGGCCCAGAGCACTGACTCAAAGGTCTGGGTAGTTCTGAGTCAAAACAAAAGGTCTATGTGTAAACTGATTATTTCCTATCCAACAGGCTGCAGGAGTCTATCTTACATTGGCCAAAGGAAATACTATTTACTCAGCACCTTCCATCTCCCATTTCTGCTTCAGAAATAGTCTTCTCTGACAAAGAGAATAAATTATGTTTCATTTCCTTGGAGTATGCACATTTTTTTCAGAAAACTGTCTTTGTCCTCTTAGGACTGGGGTTGCTGTGGGAGAGTAGCCAATGGCACTAGATGCTGTCAAAGTGAGAAGGAAAATAGCATGGTAAGCTGAATAAAAAAGCTATAATCACAGTTTTCAATATAATATTAATATAGTTTTGACATGTAAGTCATCCCCGTCTCTGCTATATTGAAGTTATTCAGAGACATCTGAGCTGCTTTGAATATCTGTGTCTTAGAGCATACTGCCATTAAATATATCCTGATTAGCATGACTAGTACTTGTAATGCAGCTTTTATAATAATGAACTAAATACATGCCTTCTGAAACTACGAGGTGCAATGCTTCTGTGAAATTGCACAGGACAACTCTGAGCAATGTGTTACTAGTTTCTGGGATATGGAAGCCAGTATTTTTTTTCTGTGAAATAAGGATAATGGATCTCAAAATTATTTAATTCTCCAATATGCTCTTTCCCAAACTTTGCAGTCCAGTGATGAATAGGAAATAATTTATTTATGTTTTATGTAGAGAAAAGAAAAGAGAGAGTTAGGGCATAAGGTTGTATGAATGTAAAGTGAAATTAAGAAAGAGAATACAATAGAGATTGCATACTTCCTAACAAAGAATTCACCACAAAGCAATGTCATGTGGAATACTCCAGCAAGTAAAGTCATATAGAGTGCTTTCATCAAAATAGTTTATTAATGAAACATCATTCAGAGTTTGCTAAAAGGAGAGCAAGATATGATATAGGAGTTGGAATTGTTTGACTTTGTGCTGAATAGCTGAAGTGTGCTTGTTTCTTCTTTAGAATGGGGGTTGCTGTGGAGGAAAAGCCAATGGTCCAGGCTGCTGCATGAACGAAAAAGAAGACAATGTGGTAAGGCCCTGCTGACCTGTTATCCTCCTCTATTTCATAGAATCACAGACTGGTTAAGCTTGGAAGAGACCTCTAGAGGTCATCTAATCCAACCCCCCTGCACACGCAGGGTCACCTAGAGCACGTGGCACAGGATTGTGTCAAGCGGGTTTTGAAGAACTCCAGAGAAGATCTCCATTTCATCTGTTTTGGACTTTATCTTGCTTGCTCTTTGCCTAAATCTAACTGTGCACTTAACTGTATATATCCAAAGCAGTTTGGAATAACTTTTATGATGATTATGCTGATGTTATCTTAGAGGAGGCAATTTTGGTGTCATTCAGTACACCAATGTGAAAGTCATGCTGCTTTTAATTGGCAAAAACAGGTGCGTTCAGGTAGGCTTACATTTTTTTTTCCCCCAGAAAAATCTAACTGGAAAACCTGGAAATGCTGTCCAGGTGACATCTGTTCATTATATTTGCCATTCTTTGCTCCACGAGACAGTAAGACTAGAAAAGAAGACATAATTAGCTTTTTTTCTTTTTTCTTTTTTTTTTTTTGTGGAAAACTTATTTCTCTGCCTCTCAAATACACGTGTTTATGTGTTTTCTTTTTTCATAGGCAATGATGTCCTCCAGTCTGTTCAATCCTTCAGAGTTTCAGCCTCTGGATCCTACACAGGAGCCAATTTTCCCACCAGAATTAATGGTAAGTTAATTTAAAAGGAAACAATATATAGTTCATTGCCTTCATTATTCCATGCTGGGTTTGAGGATCCCCACTGTGTTTGCCCTGAGGAAACAGCAGTGCAGAAGGTGGATGCTGATAAAACAAGACACATGAGCATGAATGCTTCCATGTTTTACACAAGGCCATTGCCAGCTGTGGTGGCGTAGAGGACATGCAGGTCAAGTGCCTCCCCCAGCTGACTGCCTGCCCTCTGTGTTTGTCATCACACATGCCTGTGCCAGGTTTGTTTTCCTTTCTGATTCCTGTCTATCTGGGGATGGAGTAATCGCTGACACCTGAATTTCAATTTATTAGGTCAGGTGTGAACCTCTGCAATCACTGCTTGCTCCCTTTAGTTTCTACTTTTCTCCCTTGATTTTATGGGATGTAGTTGAGAATAAGTTTGAAATAAACCACCTTCTAGAAGGATCAGCTTCTCTCCACTCTACATGAAAAGAATCGGGAGTAACCAGATCACAGCGACATCAAAAGTTACATGAGATTAGATTCTCTCCCTGTTTCATTTTTGTCTTTTTGGATCTAATTCTCCTCCTTGCCTCTGCGTGCTGAATGGCACAGAAGAGTCCCAGCCAGGAGTCTAGTCTAGGACATGGCACACTTATAACTTCCTTCACGTTTAACAAGCAATCAAATTTTATTTAGTTCTGCTGTTGCACCAGCTTTAGCCCCCAGTCCAAACGTGTCATGAGCTATAGCTCTTCTGGTGTCTTACAGAAATGAAATAAAGGGCCCCTCTGCCGCTTTTCTAAGTTCTCCAGCTTACAGGTTGACCCGCCGTTGCTGTGAGGCAGCCATGTTAGTCTTGTCTTCAATCACTGGGCAAAGGGAATTAGAAAGGAGACAGATTTTAGCTGCTAATTGAAATTCAGCTGTGGTAAAGACTTGCATAGTTTCAGGGAGCTGAGATTGGAAAATCCATTACTTCTGGGATGGTGAAGCCACAGCACCTGCCAAAACTCATGGCCGATGGAACTTGCTAAAGGAGATCTTGCTAAGGAGATGTGGCAGCAACAGGCACTTGACAGTGTCAGGAGGCAAAAGCTTTTTATCAGCATGAGAGAGAGAGCCTTGTCAATGGCAGATAAACAACAAAGGGTGGCTGACTGCCAACAGTTGTGGGGACTCACAGGCGCCTGTCAATAACCCAGCTGAGTAGAATCTGGGCCTGGAGCAGGCAAGGGCAGGAAGCAGGGCTTCTTGGCTTGATGAAGGGTCTGAACTCCATCTCATTTCACTTTTGCAGACTCAGAGTAACAAGCAGCAGAAGCAGCTGTGTTTCAAAGGCGAGCATGTGATGTGGATCCAGCCTACAACTCTCAAGGAACTGGTGGCCCTCAAATCCCAGTACCCCAATGCCAAACTTGTTGTAGGGAACACAGAAGTGGGTAAGAGGATGGGCAAATGCTCATTTTCAGTAGCTGGAAACCTTCCATGTAGTATTTCATGGGAACAGTACAAGTTTAAACTTCTGTCATGCCATTGGTGTTAAATGTCTCTCAACCTGGCATGTGAAGGGAAAAAACTTCTCAAGTTAATTAATCTCACAGCAAATGTTTTTCTTCATTCTTTTTGCTAAGTCAAACAAAAATACGGTAATCCAGACCTTTGAGCTTTTGTGGTAGTGACTTGTTGAAGAGAGGCAAAGACAAGTTTTTTTTTTGGGGAGAGGAATGGCACACCATAAAAATGTCTTTGTATTCAAGTGAACTGAGTGACACTGAAATGTGCATGTTGAGAGATTTTCAGGGAGTTGAATAAATTCTCAGGACTCAATTTTATTGGATTTCTCCCAAAATACATATTTCTGCAAGCAAATGGAGTGATGAAGAGAGTTAATATATATCAGTAACACTATTATCCTGAACAAATAATTCAGGGCACATCCACCCCCCCTCCCCAGTCTTGTTTGTTTCATGGTATTCATCCTTCTTTCCTGAAGGATTATGTACAGCTAAGCCATGTTATGTTAACCCAAGTCTAGGCTAAAGCACCTAAAACATCCTTGTGAGCATTCCAGTATTGGTAGAAAATAACTTTCAGTTTTAGTAGACCTGCCATGTCATTGAAAAATTTAACTTAGCCTGTCTGCAGCCTGTGTTTAACTGAAGGAGTTTCACTTTTCCATAAGGTATTGAGATGAGATTAAAGAACCTGTTGTATCCAGTGATAATAGCACCAACATGGATCTCTGAAATGCATGCTGTTCAGCACACTGAAACAGGTGAGCAAAAAGGAGACTAAATGCCCATGAAGTGAGTTGAGGACTCCAAGAAAATAATAAAGAGGGTATACAGGAAAAGTCCAAGATTAGAGACTGCTCTCTATATCTGTTAGTAGTACTGCCATGGAGAGAATTAAGCTAGTAATATGTACTTGAGACTCAGAGAGGACTTTTACTTGAAGATATAGTAGGCATTTACCTATCTTTGTGTAGTGTTTTATGTACAGTAACTGAGTTAATGGTGTAAATGGACAATCTTTTTATTTATAAGAGTTTTAAAATTAGTATAATTTTAGGAAAAGGCACTGGATTCAACAGTCCAAGTGAAGTATTGTGTTTATCTTTGTGGTGGGAGCAGGTCAAACCTAGAAATAACTAGAATTAACAGGAACAATGTAGTACTTGTGTCCCAATGCAGTTCCTGTCTGGCACCTTCATATACAGCCTACTGATACGTTTAAGATGTGGAAAGTGGAGAAGGATTTGGATTTCAGTTCTCAAAAGACGAGCTAACACCTATAAGAAAAGAATAGCCTTTCTATGCACTGAAGCACAAGGTGGGTGGGTGTATCATTGTCATGTGAGAAGCAGCACCACCACAAGCTGTGATTTAAAAGTGAATTTTGTTCTGGGTAATGTGGTGTTTGCATACAACACATACTATTTCTGCAGAATAAAATAGTATGACTGAATTTCTTTTCCAAACCCTGCTGTCCAGTGTAAATTCAGTGGCATCTAAGCTTTGTTTGTCAATACAGTTATATCTATGTTCTCCTGTACTTTGATTTTTGGGAAATGAAGACCAACTTCTCCTATTTGTTCATTTTCAGGGGTCAGTTTTGGGGCTGCCTGTACTCTGAGCTCAATAGAGGAGGTGCTGAGAAAAACGGTGACAGAGCTTCCTCCCTACAAAACAGAAGTGTTTCAGGCTGTCCTTGAACAGCTGCGGTGGTTTGCAGGGCCACAGATCAGAAATGTTGCAGTAAGTGACTTGGGAGCACCAGAAACTGGAACTGAAAGCTCAGTCTGAGAAGCTGGTCTGTCTCATCCAATATTGGTGTGCCATGTGTTCCTCATGCAACCTAGGCGAAGAATTTGGTACATCTAAACCAACCTCTGGAATAGCAACATGAGTCTCAGATGGTGTCTATGATACACTGATTCCACAAACCCATTGTCTATACATTGTCTATATCTACTATTATCAGAATAAATGTGGGAAACCTCACAGGGGTTTGACTGCAATTTAACAAAAATGCATTTAGAGTGATGGAGAAGTAGATGTGTAGGCTTTTGGCAGCACAGCTCTAGTAGTCAGAGGGTTAATGAATCAGCTCTATCAAATTTTCAGAGGCTTGCTGATTTTCTTCAAGGTGCAAATTTCATTGTCTAGAAATGAAACTCTCTTGGAAAAAAACAGTCTCTTACAGGAGCAGGTCACAGAATGCATATTACATTAATGGTTCCCTGCCAGTGCTCCTGGTTGATATGGGACTTATGACACTGCTTCAAAGTATTTTCATTCTGGTTTTGTTCCTGCTTCATTGATTGCTTTTCATTTTCTACAGATATGGAAGAAGAAAGTTGTGAAAGGGACTTTAGTGATATTAGGAGCTGCTTGAAACACACAGGCACTGCTTGGACACAAGGGTGTTTTGAGTGCTGAAAGCAGAGTTCCAGTGTTTTTATAATGTTCTGAGACTGTGTAGGTCATATTGCATTTGAAGGTCTGTGTAAAGCAGTCAGAACAATAGTATGTCAGTGCAACATCTGAGAGGAGAATCACTGCAGAGGCAGTAAATGTTTATCTGTATGGATTTTTAATATGGGGATATTGTACCTGGAAGATGCAAAAGCAGAATTTCATCAGGGTGTGAAAGAACACAAGATCTGAGGCCTCCTCTTTGTATTTTCCATGCTATCTAAAACGAGGCATCAGAGAAGATGGGTTAGAACAGTTGAAAGTTCATAAATTAAAAAGTGTCTAGTAGGCAGATGAGCCAACCTGCCAAACACAAGATTTTGCTCTACAAGATTTTGTGCTATATATTTGTGCTGTAGCCAACAAGCTTAGGTTCCATAATGTCATTGAAAAGGTGTGCTATATTTAATGAATCTTAATTGCAGCTACAGTACTTGAATTTTGGCATCATAGGACATGCATATTTTGAACATTGAAGACTGTTTTGATGCATCACTCAAAGATTATTCCTAAAACTGTTTCAGTCTAATGTTGCGATTGGCTGGGATTGCAGTTGATTCAATGGGTTTTGTATTTTTTGTCCTGTTACGTTATAGACCTAAAATTGCTGAGTAAGGATAAGAGTTTATCAAAATAAACTTAACTGTAGCTGTACTGTAGTGCACTGTGTATGCAATAATGTATGATTACAGTGTGCTAATTATATTGCTGTTGAATACTTATCTAATGCATGTATTATCATGCTAGGCTCTTGGAGGGAACATAATGACAGCAAGCCCAATCTCTGACTTAAATCCTGTGTTAATGGCAAGTGAAAGCAAACTGACTTTGATATCAAATGGTAAGTTACATATCCTTGTGGCACCTTGTGGGAGGTGGGGTTGTCATCAGTCCTTTCCTATATTATTAGACCAGATGAGAGTTTTGAGGAAAGTGCACATTAACCTTAAAGGACATAGGCTTAATCTGAGTCTTTTGCGGCTTGCCCTTTCTAAGGCTGAAGACTTAAGGTTAGACCTAAGCTTGGTTCTCTAAAGTATTTTTAACTTCTGTAATAAAGTGAATCTCTAGCATTGTGCATGCACACACAGATACATCTTTGTAAAAACCTGGTTGAATATGTCCATTCATAGAAAAGCAAACTTATTATAGATATGAGATTCTTTCTGTCACTACCATACTTGGATTTTTGTGGATTTTTCAGAAGATTGATACCTGTTTTTGTCTATGGAACAATGTCTCAATTTGTATTTACTTTTAAGATTATCTTTTTTTTTTTCCTGATATATGATCCTTTTGACAACTAAGTGAACTCTTTGATCAATGGCTTTTGCTTGTAATCAGTTTGTGTGCAAGCTAAGGTAAGGTGAAAGGAGGGAAACTACTTTGGCATGCTTGGAACTGAATTCACCCAGAGGCTCAGCTTTAATTAGCTTAAGAAGGAGGAAGGACTTTGAGAAGTCTCTTTGATCAGTTCCTGGGCAGAAGAAACATCATACGTAAACAGATGCTATCATAGGTTCCATAGGAAACAAATTCAATTTGAGAAAATCCTTCCTGATTTGGCGAAGTAGTGTTAAAAAATGAAAATTGATTCCATATCAGGAATAATTTCCGCAGGCTGAAGGCTCTTTCACACACATTTTTGTCATTCTTCATCGGAATTATTTATTCATCCATCACTCATCTCTCCTTGCTCTACAGAGGGCAAAAGGACTGTCACAATGGATGAGAAGTTCTTTACTGGATACAGAAAGACAATATTGAAACCTGAAGAAATACTTCTCTCTGTTGAGATACCCTACAGCAGGAAGGTAAGCTACTGGGATTAGACTTCAGTGCCAGTGGAGCTAAAGCAGTGTTACTTGGGTGTTAGTTTAAATAGGTTAGGCACTCTTCCTTGAAGAATGACCTCCAAATGCTTATGCAATCCCTTGGATCAGCAAGCTCATAGATTTTTTTTTTTTTTTTTTTGGTGAAAATCTTTTTGATAAGCAAGGGGAGGTAGACTCTACAGTGAAGTGCTATAAGCCCAAGAATTGTAGTGCAGTGAATAAATGTCACCTCATTCTTTTGAATACACTATTGAATACACCTTTTTTTTTATTGAATACACTTTTTTTTTTGAATACAATTTTGAATACGACTATTTTCTGTAGCAGCATGAGTCACAACTGATTCAGTGCCTAAGTAGTAGAACTCGTTTTTTCCCTTAAGGCCTGAGAACGTCAGACTGTAATTTTATGCCATTGAAGGTATTAAGAACCTTTTTAGAGTTTGCAGCCATTAGTTATGTCACTACAGTGTGAATCCTTTTATAATATTTCTTCTTTACAAATGGAAAACATTGATTTTTTTCCAGAAATGGCATCATATTATGGGACAGAACCAAAAAAATCTTTTGTCTATCCTCTATTTTTTCATATGCAAGTATTAAGAGATTATTTTTCTTTCTGTGTTTGGATGATTCTACTTTGAACTTGTCGTAATTGCAGGAAGCATCAATTATTGTCAAAATGAGAAAACATGCTTGGGGGAGTCAATGGACAACAGCATGTTCCACCATCCATATCACTGTGGAGAAAAAAAAAAAAAAAGCTTATACTTTAGGCAAATTTCACAGAACAAATAAACTTTTACCACAAGGGCAATGGCTTGATCTGTAAGTTATATGCAGCTCATTGATCTGAATAACTGAAATAACTTATGAACTTTCTACTTCATGGATTTTTGCTGATCTTTGCTCACAAACATAAAGCCAGGAAGACTAAAATTCTTCAAGAGATGTCTGAAAAGAGTGGGATGAGGCAGGCAACGTCTCTAGAACTGTGATTTCCTCACAGCAGGAAGCAGGGTTGTGTTAGCACACAGCAGAATTTGATTTTCTGGTTTATGTTTGTTTAAAAGTGAAGTTACCGCTTGTGTTGGTATGACTTGTTATGCAAGTGTAAGACTGTCAAACAATGTCGTGAATGAAACCAATGAAGCTTAGCAGTTTTCACTGTTTAGTGTTAGAGGGATTTAATTCATGGTAGGCTTTATTACATTGAGAGAATGTTAAGGGAGAGGAGCTACCAGCCTCTTTCCCTTGCTATTTTGTGTCAGCTGTTGAAGTAATTCAGGAAAAAGGTTTTACAGCCTATATTTGTAAGGTAAATGCTGCTGAGCAAGGACAGTATTTAGGGAAGAAAACAGCTCACTAGATTAAAGATACATATAAACAGATTTCAGAAGATAAAACAGTGCTTTTTAATGTATAAAATGGCATTACTAGAACAGACATATCCTCTGCTTAGTAGCCCTCTTTCTTTTCTGGACTATAAAAACATTCCCTGTGCTCCAGATGAAGTTGGTGTTGTCCACCACCTGCATTATTACTTAATGTCCATCACACCTTCATATTCTTTTCGTTGTGTACATTTTCTTATTCATGTTAGTTACTGTTATTTATCTTTTATAATACCATTGTTCTTTATCATATAAATGTTTACTTTTTTCAATAGAAAAAGCTTATCAACACAATGGCTATACACTTATTTCTTAAAATAGGATCAGTGTTGTCATTGCAGTCTTATGGTATCATAACTTTTGTCCCACTGGAGAAATGTCTGATCAAGTCTGTCTTTAACACTCAAATTAGTATCCTACAACCCTATTGACATTATTGACTTCTCTTCAATCTTGGTGGACTGAATATAGTGACATAGAAACAACATTTTAGCAATTGTGAATCTTGCCTATAAATCATTTGGAACCTGTGGAGCTCTTAGTGTGCTCCTAGTTGGCATTGCCTGCCCTTCAGGAGGAAAGATATGAGACTAAATTAGATTCACACACAACCCTTTGCATTCTTGATTGCCTTTTTTAACCCCTTCTGCTATAAAAGTGTGTTTTTCCTGTGAGATAACTAACTTCTAGAAGCTTTAACTGTAAAAAAAACAAAAGGGACATACTTGGCTCTGTTACTGAGGAGTGGGGCAGACAAGGGCAATCACAACTGTTGTAATGGTTGACCTTGCCTACCTTTCTAGCTAGCAATGAAGAACAGCAAGTGCCTTGTCTCCCACAGGACTTTGCATCAAGATAATGATGGCCTCTTGTGAGGAATGAGAGCAAGTGTTGTCTTCTCATTGTAACAGCGTTATTGGAAAGCCTCTCTGAAATGTGCAGTAAGGGAAGAAGATGATTTTCTTTTCTTTGAAGGCTAATTGCTTTAACAAACAGAGTGGCATAATGTCCTTGTTGGGAGGATGCTGTTGATGCTCCTTGGCTATTATCTGCAGGTTGCCCACTAATTAGTTGAATTCAGGAAATGAAGCCCACACTCCAGTTAGATCTTCAGTAATGAGATCTCGATGCACAAAATGGACCTCTTGTGAAATTCCCCTATGCCAACAACAGAGGAATTGTTCTTTACAGCAATGGAGAAAGTGTTGCTCGCTTCTGATTAGCGATAATTAATGGAACAAGGCATTGTACTGTGCAGAGTTGCTTGGCTAAGCCATTATAGAAAACAATTGGCAGCAAACTTTTCAGAAGAGCCATGTAAAGTCATCAAATCAGATTCATAACTTGCAGGATGTCCAAGTGGGAATTTGCAGAAAATACCCTGGAGGCCAGGGAAGAGGAAAAACTGAGTTTGCTGTGGATCCCAGGTGATACCATCACTTGGTGTAAACTGGTGGAGTGTTACTCTCACGTTGTATGTCACTCTTTCACAAAGAGCTTCCGAGCTTTCTGAGAGGTAGTAGCTGGTGCCTTGAAAAGAACTTCCTTTCTGTGTGGAGTCATTGCTGAGAAATATATTTGTAGGATCCACTAGCCTGGGATCTGATCAGTATGATTACTGATTTCAATTTTTCCAGAGTTCAAAGACTTTCCAAAGAGCAAAAAGAGAAGTGGTTTAGCAGGATCACAGTGTTACTGATTAGGCCTCCAACTCAACAGCTTTGCAGACTGGGAGAAATTAAAATTACCAAGGAAGAGTAAACTTTTTATATACAAAAATTTTGTCTTGATTCCTCTTCCCAAGACATATCACAAATATGATAGGTACAAGCAGATCTCCATCAAAGCTTATCTCACACAATTCTAGCTTGGATAAGTTTCATCTTTGAATACAGTGTTGCCTGAACAAATATGTTCTGCTTGGCACTGCAAGGTGAATCAGTTAGATACGGGGTTCTGGAATAGCTCATCCATGTAGGGACAGGCCAGCAGGTTGTCCGCTTTCCAAAGCAGGCCAAGATAGAAATCTCTTCCTTTCTTCTAGGGTGAGTACTTCTCAGCTTTCAAGCAGGCTTCACGTCGGGAGGATGACATTGCTATTGTGACCTGTGGGATGAGAGTCCAGTTCCAAGAAGGCACTAGCCAAGTGGAAGAGATTAAACTGAGCTATGGAGGAATGGCTCCTACAACTGTCCTAGCAGTAAAAACTTGCCAAGAGCTCACTAGGAGGTAGGAAGTTTTCTGTGATAAGAAAGGCTGCCTAGTAGAAACAAGGTTGAGTTTTTCAGGAACAAATTGAAATATCTTGGATCCTCTTTGATAGCACCCAGAAGGAGAAAGAGATAAAAATGAAAGCTGCAGTTCTGCAGCAGTCTGTTCCATCTCTTCCAGTAGTCCTTTCCCTCAGAGATCCAAATCAGTCTCTGAGCACCATATTCACGATAAATGCACTCTTCTTTAGAGCTGGGCATATGTTAGACAGAGGGAGAGCCTGAAAACCAGGGTGTCATGCAGGCTTGACTGAAAAACTTGCAGTCATCACTTAATTGCATTGTCATACCTTTAGAACAGAAGACATATGCGTGATATGAGAGCAAAGATGACGTGCATGCTATAGATAGAGATAGAGCAGGTGACTGACACTTGAGATCCAGTGGAGTTGCCATGAGTTAATCTGCCCTTGTGATATTTAGGGCTAAGCAAGCACTGGATGTCACTGTGTTTCTTTGCAGAGACTGGAACGAGAAGCTCCTGCAGGATGCCTGCCGCTTGCTGGCAGGTGAGATGGACCTGTCTCCTTCTGCACCTGGTGGGATGGTGGATTTCCGACGTACACTCACGCTCAGCTTCTTCTTCAAGTTCTACCTGACAGTGCTTCAGAAGTTGAGCAAGCAGCTCAACGGCCCTGTGAGTGCTGCTGGGGAAGATGGGCTGGGTGTGCTCTCTGGATGGGGAAGGCATGAGGAGGCTTCATGTGAAGCATGAGGAGGCTGCACATGAAGCAGCAGACTTAACATGCCTGCAGGTGGTCATGAGGGGAATATTTTGACAGAAAACTTTGTTGCAAGAGCTGCCTTGCTTCTTATCCGTGTGATAGTGACCACAGTGACCAAAATTTCCATCCACTTACCCTTGTCATTCCCACATTGCTGTGGAAAGACACTGCTCTGCAGGTATGTGGGAGCACTCTTGGAATTCTCCTACTTAGTGTGCTGCAACTGCCCTTGTGGGGCTGTGGTTATTCTTCCCACTTTACCCTGTAAAAATGGGTTATATTCACAGCTAGCTGAATGTTAGGCCCATCTATGTGGCAACTATGAGCTTTTGCCACACAGTGCTGACAGGTACGCTCTGTTGACAATCCTCCAATTGGCACATCTGCCCCTCGTGGCTCAGAAGGTTACTCTGGTACATCAGAAAGGAAACCTCGTCTTGAGGCAAACAGGAGCTACTGGGGAAGGTTAGAAAGGGACTGGAAGGGGAGATGATGGTTCTTTAATGTCTCTGGCAGAATAAGCTGTGTGAGCCCATCCCTTCGAACTACATCAGTGCCACAGAGTTGTTTCACAAAGATCCCATTGCAAATGTTCAGCTCTTCCAAGTAAGTACCAGTAACTACATGATCCATGGTCATTTTTTTCTGTAGTCCAAACTATGTTGCTTATTGTCTTACTGCCTTCCTGAGTATGAACCATGAACTTGCTGCAGTCATGCTATTCATGAGGCTTGTATTTCAGTCTCTGTTCCTTCCTTGACTTGGGCAATTACATGAAAGAATTGTATTCTAAGACTTTGTTCCTGAAGTGTATAGTTTCACAAAAATCACTGTGGATAACAATTCTGTTCTTCACCCAGAGCTCCGTATCCAAACTGAAACTGTTCTATTTTGTGCAGTTATAGCCTGCCTCTCTTTGCATCTCTCAAGTCTTAGATTCAGGATACATCTCCTTGTTTCTTTGCTTGCTCATGGCTTGTTCTCTTTAGCCTTGAGAGGAGAAGCTGGCTGTAGAATTTGAATTTTTCATGACAGTGGTCATATCAAATCCTTCTCTTCTATAGCAGTTTCAAAGAATTGAATCCCTTTCACCTCATTCTCTACAGCCCCCTCTGTGCGGCCACATAGATAAACATTCACTCCATCGTGTTTATCTTCCTCTTCCACAGGATTTAGCACTCTCCTTTCCAAGCTCACTAGAATGTTTCTTCTGCCTTTTGCTTTCTGGTGAATGCTTGTGTCCCCTGCAATAGAAGGAGCAGCAGTTAGCCATGTGTTTTACTCCAGGAAGTGCCTCCAGGGCAGGCAGCTGAAGATATGGTGGGCCGGCCTTTGATGCACCTTTCAGCAGCCAAACAAGCATGTGGAGAGGCAGTGTACTGCGACGATATCCCTCACTATGAGAATGAACTGTATCTGACACTGGTCACCAGCACCAAAGCCCACGCTAAGATCCTGTAAGTGCTGCTCCTAAGTTTCAAATGTTGGAAGCATCTGGTGGCTCAGAAAACACTGACCTGTTAGGGAGGGAGTGAGGGAAAGGTTCTTGCATTGGTGGGAATTCCAGTTTGTTGCACATCATTATACAGAAGTGATCTGTGTATGTTACACCTTTCTTGCAAATCTCTCTTGGTGGGACTATGAGGGAATTAATACTGAACTCCCAGCTTTGCTGGAGCACAAAGTTCTAGTCCCTAGGCATGTTATTACATGACCCATCTCTTACATGCAAATATGCAGGACTGAAAAGGAGCAGGTTAGGAGAATATTGCAATGTCTGAGAGGTAATCTTAATCCCTGACCTGAGCATGCAGTCTGGACATGCCTGCCTAGAAGTTCAGCCTGTGAGTTCCACTGCCTCACCCCCAGTAGTGTATAGTCAGTTGTGCATGCACCATATTCTGTTTTACCTTCCTGAGTGCTCTGGCCATAGTCAATCCATCAGCATAATCAGCCATAGTCAATTTGGCTCTGGCCGTAGTCAATCCGTCAGCGTAACAGCCTATATGAATTAGCCTCAGCTAAAAGATATAGAGCTGTTTGTGCTTGGCTGTAGCAAGGTGGATAAGTTGGTGTTGGAAGTTCAGCTGGCTTGAAGCATATCTTGTCTATAAGAGCATGGCTGGCACATAATTTATAACCATGCTGACTAACCAATTCTCAATAGCCTGCGTTAGCAACTAATGTCTTATGCATTCTCATGTGAGCCTTAAAGCTGTTACAGTGCAGTACTGACTGCCGCATGCAGTCCCTAATAGTACTTCCATTGCGGTGGCTCTGTGATCTCAGCTGCTCTCAAGTGCTTTGATGTGGGACACTCTGTGTTACACTGCCCATCTTCAGTAGCCTTGCGATGTGCTGTTTGTTCCTTAGGCAATACTTCCTGCCTATTTACGCTTCCTGCTCTGGTTTCCCACAGTGATTTAATACAGGACATGCAGCCATGTCATGGATGCACAGGTGCAATTGACTGCCAGATTATGAAAGAAACTGCTCTGTCATGATAGTTAAATCTTAGGTGTTGCAACTTGGTCATTGACAGTGCCGCAAACACATAAGCCTTGTTACTGCTGCCCATGCACATGGGACAATAGAGAAAAGCACGAGGTCTATGCTTGTGACCACAATGTGCAGTATTTTCTAGAGGCTGGTGTGCACATACTCTTGTACTTGCACTGTGAATAACATTTCAAGCCATAAGTCTGCATCATTCTACAGAGGATGTGGCAGAATATTTAATGAAATGATAGGTATTTTCGCCTATGACTTCTGGTCAAAATATTGGCTCTGTTGAAATTAATAAGAAAACTTTCACTTCATCTGAGTCAGGTTTTGACCACTAAGTATAAATTAGAAATCATCTGCCTCTATATTGACTAAGGAAATTGGTCACTGGATTCTTCTGGAGTGTTTTTGCAGAAGCACAGGAAAGTTAAGTTTTCCAAAGAAAAATAACATTGGCTTCAGCTCCTGCTGTCTAAGAGCTCATGCATGAAAATTCCTTTATACATATACACACGCACACACACACACATATATATATTTAATTTCTTACTGGGATGCATAAACAACTATTTTCAGGCACATTTTCTATCAGAGCTTCAGGAATCTATGCAAGCATGCTGGAAGAATTGCAGTAATTTACAGAAGACAATAAATCATTCAGTTAGGAGAAACAAACCCACAGCTCTTCTGTTTGCAACAGTTCCATTGTCAAGCCAGCCAATTGCATGGCCAATGTATAAAGTATTGCAAAGGGAACTTGAAAGTCTTCTGTAAAATATTTATAGTTATATTCTGTTTCGTTTATCACTTGGTTTTAAATCAGCATATGACTCAAGCAGGCAAGCATTTTATTTGGATACCTCTTTTGCTAGCTACCAAAGAAGACCATCTGTGACACTTTCTGTCTCTTGGAGTTTACTTACCAACTTCTTACAGTTTCCCAGCTACATTTTTCTGTAGAGGCAAACACACTGTTGGTGCCATGTGTAGGCAGTAAAATCTCATGTTTATCAATGCACAGAAAGGAATTCTGCCTTTACAGAACCATGACAGCTAAGAGGACAGTGAAGGAAAGCCAGGCTATCATTATCACTAATCTATCTTTGGATAAAAGTTCCAGGACATCTTTAATAGCCATGATCAGGAGATCAGTTTCAGATGTGTCTCAGCCAAAAGATGTACAGTTTAAAGTGGACTGGGTATTGGACTGACCATCAAGATCTGAATTATAGATCCCCAGTAATTTAACTATCATATGTTGCCTTTCTGCCTTGGTTTCACATGATATCCATCCTATGTTGCATAGCCAGACCACTGAAAATCAGGTCTGTAGACTCATTGGTGTTTCATGCTTATAAGCACTTACAGAATTAGATCAATGAAAATTAATAACTCTACTTCTACTCTCTTTAGTTCTGTAGATGCATCTGAAGCCCAGACTGTCCCTGGATTTGTTTCTTTTGTCTCTATGAAGGATGTTCCTGGGAGTAACATCACTGGCATCGCTAATGATGAGACTGTTTTTGCTGATGGCATGGTATGGAGTTAAAAAGAGCCTCTTTCAATCACGCTGCATAGGAAATGGGGTTTCTCATTTTCTCCAGTGTAGTCCTCAACTGTACATAAAGATAAATCCTGACTGCATTGGAGTCAATAGAAATCTTGTTGTCTAATTCAGTAGGGCTTGAATTTCCTTGCTTTGTGCACCTACATCTATTTGTACCATTTTCCTCTAACTGCAGGCAATGGGAACAGGCTCATTCAGTTACCTTCCAAAGGTATTTGCAGTTCCAAAGATATTTGCAGTTTTTTTCTTTTCTCCTTCACCAGATATGAGTAATTTTTGGCAATATTCAATTCAGGTAGCTCTTATACAGTGAAGGTGAACCTGGCCCTCAGAGAGTAGCAAAATACCACAACTTTAGCCACTCAGCTAATATTAGAGTATTCCTCAGTCTACTCAGAAGTAATTCTAAAGAGGCTGGTCCAAACAAACAAAGAATTGCACTAAAGAAAAAGAGCCTTACAGTGCCTTCAGGCACCTATAGCAAGTGATGATGTGTCCTGTTCTTACCTCTAGGTCACCTGTGTTGGTCATATCATTGGTGCAGTTATTGCAGATACACAAGAACATTCCAGAAGAGCAGCTAAAGCTGTGAAGATTAAGTATGAAGAGCTCAAACCTATTGTCACAATTCAGGTGAGATGACCCAGATCTGTTTCCACAGTTAAGCTGTGGCCCTCTGATGGCTGGTTAAACTCCCTTCTCACACACGGGATTATTTAGCCATATATTTTGTTGCCTTTGCTATGCGAGTGTAGCAGGATACAGATAGGATACAGATAAGAATCATTTATGTATTCAAATATAGAGAGGGATACACCTTTGGGGTGGTACTAATTGGCACTGTGTTAACTTGTTCTGTGTTGTTTGTCATTGAATCAGATAAGACAAATTCTGGGGGATGTATTGCACACAACACAAATTTGTTTAACAAGAGTGCTTTCAGTTGTGTTCTTACCCACTGTTGCTTCCTTTCACTATACTGCTGGCTTTATTGGTATGAATGTTCATATATTGTCCAGTTGCTGATTTACAACACATAATAAGAAGGCACAAAAAAGTCCCTTCTCACTGTAGAAGCACTATTTCTTTCTAATTTTTCAGAATATTTGTCTGGTTTCTAAAGCTGACAAAATTAATTTTCAGGAGTTATGTCTCCACAATGAACATTTCCACTTACTGCATGGGTACAGCCCTTTAGCAGGATTTTCTTTTTTTTTTTTTTTTTAGTTTTCTGAGGGACCACAGTTCCTTTTTTTTTTATTATGGAAGCTTGAGCTTTGGCAAAAGTGAAATGTAAAATTTTGTAAAATTTTAGCAAGAAAGATTATAGCATTTTGACTCCAAAGGAAATGGTTTTTGCATTTCTCCCTTTCTGGGAGATCTAGCTTGCTCCTTCTCTTTTTCTCTGTTTCTCTCCTGCCCCTCTCACTCCAACCCATGGACTTGGTTCATCAGTTCGTGTAAGTTGTCTGTCTTAGCTCCGCTGGCTGTAAACTTTGGGGTTCTGGGTCCATAAGATAAAATAGATCACAAGGAACTACCTAAGACTGTCCACTTTTGGTAAAACTGCCCTTTTGTGAAAAAATATTTGTTATTGCTCTAAGTTAAGTCATTTAACTATTACCATAATTAGTATCTTGATAAGTTCTTGTGCTTTTTAGCTTGGATAATTTTTTCAGTAAGAGAGAGAACTGTTGTCACACCTTTTTCATAAGAAACATCCCTGTGTTATTTTGTTTCCTAGGAAGCTATTGAAAAACAATCCTTTTTTAAGCTTATACGAAATCTTAACAAAGGAGATGTAAAGAAAGGATTTGAAGAATCGGATCATATTTTGGAAGGTGAGAATAACTATTAATAGCTGTTCTGAAGTAGGATAGTTTGACAAAGGAAGACAAACTATAAGCTTCCTTTTCACACATATCACACTGTGTTCATGCAAGTAAGGCTTGCTGGGCTGAACCGATTCCATAATATGTGTTAATCTACTGTTTATATGCAAATATCTTATGAAAGATTTAATTTCAGATTAAATTTCAGATTTGAATTTCCACTTACCTACACCTGTCAAAAGGACTTACAGACAGCAGATCCTGGCAGATCTATTATGCTAGATCTCTATCTCCAGAAATAGCCTATCTATGAGGCCTGTTTTCCATATATTTTTCTAGGAGAGATGTACCTTGGTGGACAAGAGCATTTTTATCTGGAAACTCACTGTACTGTGGCTGTGCCAAAGGGGGAGGATGGTGAGATGGAACTCTTTGTGTCAACCCAAAACCTAATGAAGACACAGGTACTGCCTCTCTCTAGCCTGTTACCTAAAAGGAATTTGCTTCTCAGTCCTTAGACTAGGTAACCTCTTGTTTTGCAGTTTGTTTTAGCTTGTCTTGTATAAAAATGCCACACTGGCCCAGAACTGGGTGTAGGATCTGAAGTCCATATTCATCCCCTAGGGTGGAGAAGTTTCTGCTGGCAGTGCCTCCCTCTGTGCCCGGTTTACATCTCTGACCATTTTCTGGAGATGTGGCTAGTGGGTGAATAGCCACGGCCACTGGATGACATGTCAGCAAGGGAGGTAGTGCAAATACTGACAATATAACCAACCCTGTCACCCTGTGGGACAGGCTGCTGGCACTATGAGATGTCTTTGCCCTATTTACTGACTACAAGAAAAGCAGTATTCCCTATAAATCTTCCCTTGTGATTTACATTCTGTTTGAAATGTGGTACTGTTGTGGACATCAAGACTATCAAAAGGTCTAATAGTTGAGTGAGGAGAGTGGAGAGTGTGAAAGGGCTATCATCACACTTTTTGCTAGATGAAATGCATGCCTTGGTAAGCTAACCTCATGTCAATCTCTTCCTGAATCTCATGCTCTTTGCTAAAGCACTCTTACAGTGAAGCAACAAATTCACTTGCAGGATCAATAGGACCTGCTATAGTGACAGCGTATTCACAGTTTTGCGAAGTTTGCAGAATGGAGAAAGCTATGACAAGTCATATTTTGGTATCTATTAGTTACCACTAACTCTGCTTTTCTGTTTTTCTTTAGGAGTTTGTTGCTAATGCTTTAGGAGTCCCTTCAAATCGGATTGTGGTTCGAGTGAAAAGAATGGGAGGAGGATTTGGAGGAAAAGAGACTAGAAATACTATTTTGTCAACTGTGGTGGCTGTGGCTGCTTTCAAGTAAGTTTGGGTACAGGGAATTGTGCTTCTTCCTTTCAGACTTTACCTGTCCGAGACTGCACATTTTGGAGCACCGCTCGTGCTGGGGCACTTTGAAGACTCTTTATAGTCTTCTGACTCTACAGTTTGCAGCAAGCTTCTGAGTTCCTATGAGTGTTTGATGGGCTCTTAGCTGAAAGGAGAACTGAAACTTCTGGAAGGGGCTGGGCTTATGAGGAGTGTCATCTTTTGCTGTGTAAATAAGAAAGGGAAAAACTTTGTTTTTCTGTTGATATTCTAAAATTATTCTGTGTCAAATTCACTGCCCTTTTAGTTCACTTCACCCCCAAAACCTTTCAAAATCCAACAATAGTCTTGCTTGGATTGTTCTTTGTATAATGGAGGTATAATAGCCTGCACAAAAGTCTGTTACTGACATGGGTCTTGCACTGCTCTTCCTTTGCTCTTCCACAAAGCCTGATGTCTTTGGATTTTCCCTAGGAAGGGGGGCAGGTCACAGTGCAGAGAACTCCACTGTTCAACACCCTAAAAACTCATGGAATCAGCCTGCATTGCAACCATTTGTGAAGTATAGATTGCAAATGGGCTTCTGGCTTTCAGAGGTTTGTTGCAGGTTCATCTTTAACTGTGCAAATTTTTGTGGTTGTGAATGAACATGGCCTCTGAGATGACACTTGTGCACTGCATGTAACTCTTCACTTCCCATTATTGCTCTTGTATGCTAGGATGCTCCTTCCTGTTAATGCTAGTTGTATGTTGGGACATATCAGTAATTTGACAGAGTATCTTTAGAGCAGAATAACCAAAATGAAGTTCCTGTGCTTGAGCCAGCTTTATTTTCTCCATTCTGAGCAAAACTTCTTCTTCCTCTGCTTAGTCAGTAGTGCATATTTATTTTTTATTGTTTTTATTGCTTTCAGCCAAACTACTGATTTCATATTTCAGAGGTAGTGAAATTACATCTATGACATTCCCTAGATATTTTTGCAATCTGAAGAGAGGTGCTGGAAAGTCATGCTTGTTTGAAAATGAAGAGCTGCTTTTCTCCTCCATGAGTAATAAATAAGCAACTAAAGACATGGCCAAACTGAAGTCTAGTCATTACCTTCATTAGCATTATTTCATAATTCATGGGGCATTTTCTCTAGTAGAGTCAAAAGAGAATTGAGAAATAGTCCAGAAACAGTGATCACAGTTGTTGTTATCTGTGCCTATAAGAAACCATCTATTTTAACGCAGGAGTCTTCATAAGACTTCTAAAGAACACATCCCAGTCTCTAAGATATTTTCCTTCTTTACTCAATTTTGCCATTTTCTTCAGAGGAAGATATATCCAGGCAATTT